GCAGCACCCACCAATCATGCCATGGTTTGGAGCAGAGCAGATGTGTCTGGACATGAGTTTTGGGCCTCCCCGTCTGTCTCTGAGCCTAGTGCAGGGGAGTGGCCGGCAGCATGTGCAAGCGGTGGGTGGGCAGGTGGCTGGAGATAAACCCATGGCCATGTGCAGGAAGGCTGGTGCCGGGCCTGAGCCGGGGGGTTGAAACTGCTCTCCGAAACCACACCGTGCAGGGCGGGCTGCCGCACAGCACTCTCGAGGCGGGCGCCTGCAGCAGGCCTCCCTCGCTACCGGGGTGGCTGTCGCTCTGCGGCTGAGGGTTTTTTCTCGCCCGCTTATCACAAGCAGTTGGTGTGAATTGCTTCCCCCCGCCCCATTTATAAAGTACAAAGCTGCAGGGTGCTGGTGCAAGGGCGTTGACAGTGCTGCTCCGGGAGTGTGAGTGTGGGGCTGGACAAAAACTGGATGTTAGGACACATTTCTTCACCAAAACGGTTTTTGGGCATCAGAATGGGCTGCCTGGGGAGGTGGTTGAGTCACCAGCTAGGGAGGTATTTGAGATGTGTGGACAAGGTGCTTCAGGACATGGTTTAGTGACGGACTTGGCAATATTAGCTTTGCAGTTAGACTCGATCTTAAAGGTCTTGTCCAACCTAAAAGATTCTAGGATTCTGGGATGAGGGCCGTGTGCTTGCCCAGGCATGTGTGTGCACAGGCATGTGTGTGCACAGACCTGCAGCACAAGAGAGTGCACATAGAGGAGGGCACGGCTGCATTTCTGGATGGGAGAAGAGGGAAACAAAACTCCAGCCTTTAGAAGAAGGAGGTGCTGGGAAGACAATTCTCAAGAGCCAGAAGTAGAGTGCCAAATGTGGTGGCAGCTACCTGGGATTTGGGATTGAGAAGGGCTGGCGACCTTGAAATGAAGCAGTGTGCCTGACTCCGTCTCCTTTCCTGCCGCCTCATCTGCTATGGCTCTGCCCGTCCTTACTCAGCCTGCGTCAGCAACTTGTACAAAGCTTTCCACAGCTTCTTTTGGATAAACTCCTAAAAAACCGAAGTCATTACCTAATGCTGTAAATTGCACAGTTTGTTTCTGGTTTTCCTTAACGTCCTGGTGGTCTGTGAGTCAGTGTTATCCCCGTCGTGCAGCGGGAGATCTCACTGCGGCTGCCTGAGTAGGAGCACATGGTGAGCAAGCGTAAGTGCAAACTTTCTATTTGTTATTCCTTCAGAGCTTGCTTCCCTCCTGGGCACGAGCACCGCTTTGCCCTCATCCTTAAGCCTCGTGTATTTGTGTACCTACATGTTGACTCGTGACTCCACTCCTTTTAGATACCTGGAGAGGGAGATGCCTGATGTCTGAGACACATTTAAGCTGTAAACTTGGCATCGTTTACAGTGCAACATGACTGTTCCCGCCGGCCGGCCATTAGCCGTGCTGTGTGCCTGTACTAAGACATCCTGCTGTATTTTACTGGGCTGCTGAAGTTTGGGTTGGTGAAACGCTGATAGATGCATCTTGAAAAGATGCTGTGCAAGTCACAGTAGGCACTGGATATCTTGCAAGGTTAACAGGGGATAATTATCAGTGAAATGTTTATTATTTGTGCTTTGCCCTGCGCGAGGCAGCTGAGTGTGACTGCTCCGCCGGGCCTGGCAGCCTTGGCTCAGCCCAGCTCCCACCATCAGCCCATCCAATGCAGCGGTGCGACCTTGGCCTCAGCCCCCCATGGCACGTGGGCCGATGAGGAGCAGAGAGTACATTTTTGTAGTGCCTAAGGGACTGGCCTTCTGTTCATGCATGTTGTGCAAATATTGAAGAGGCGGTAGCCTTTCCTCTAGTGATTTAAAAACTTAAACTGTTCCTGTTCACATGGATGGATGCTGTTTTGACTGCTACTTGTTCATTACACTTCGTATCTCCTTGACCTTTGTTTCAACAGGCTTTGTGTCTTTTGTCTTTTTCTCTCTGTTGCTTTCTAATCCAGAAAACTATTGCAAAGGTGATTATTTAGAAAGTGCTTTGTACCTTTCTTTTTTTAAGGATACAGAAATCAAACATATTAAGGAAGGAAAAGACACAAACTAATTAATTTTCTTGGTTTGTTCCTGAACATTGGACTTTATCATTGTCTCAATATATGTTTTTCAATGGACCATCACAGCCAGACTATGCTGAGCAGGATTTCCCTCACTGAACAGGTTTAACCCATTACCTGGGGTGCCAGAGGCCAGGCTGTCCCAGAGAAGCACCTTGTAGGCACTTGGGTGGCAACTTGTAGCCAAGGTTGACCACAGCTGACAGAGTTACAGCTGTGTCCCTTGTACTCTTGACTTCTCCTCCATAATTCCCTGTGTCTTGGGCTCAAGCTCCTCTTGGTCTGGGGAGTTTATTAGCGCTGGGCTTGAGATGCCAGTGTGAACGTGCCCTGCTTTGATACAGGAAGAGAGGAGTCAGGGCCAGGATCCCCAAAGCCGTCTTTAGCAGCGTCTTGGGTACCCCTAGGCTTCCTGGCTCTGACCAGGAGCTTTGCTGGGCTGCTTGCCTTCCTTACCTTGTATTTCTGGCCTGGGCGCAGTGCTGGAAAACCCTGAGCTGCTTCTGGGCACGTCCAGCTCGAGGCCAGGGTACGCTGGGGCAGACTGCTGCACTGCACAGAATCAGCTGAATTCTAGAAACAAGTTTCCTCTGGATGCTGTACAGCTGTGCTCCTCGACATTGCATTTTACCTGCCAGGTCTAATGCAATTCAAGCTGGTTTTGTGTTGAACCAACTCTGGTGTAAAATACCATCCTGTGGCTGTTGAGAAGAAATACTCTAGGAAGCTAATCTCAGCTCGTTTGTTGGTTTAATATACCATGCCAGGCACATAACTTAATCTCTCTGTCTCCATTTACCCCATGTATGTGGGGTTTTATAATCCTGAAGAAATGTGGTGAAGGTTATTGTTTGTAAAGTACTTTGAACCTTATTTTTAAAATAATAGAAATAGGAAGGGAAGAAGGAAAATCATCTAGGATCTTAATTTATTTCCATGGATTTGTTTCTAAACACATGATTAAAAAAAAAAAAGAATGCAAGCTCCTAGTTCCAACAAGCAAACACATCTACTGCTCAGAAATGTGGGGTTTTTCTGCCTGTGCTAGGCTGTCCGTGGGAACAGTGATTGTATCATCATCTGCTTGAGAATTTACAGTGACATTACCAAGTATCCGGGCACGGCTTTTCGGTCGTGCTGTATCCAAATGGCACGCTTGAGCAGCGCTACAACCCGTCACCATTAAGGGTGTTTCCGCGATGGAGACTTCCTCAGCGCGGTGAGCACGTTCTGCCTGAACGTCACCTGCACGGGCCTTCTAACGGAACTGTCACCGCGGGGCACAGAATGGTCCCGCTCTCCGCACGGGGCTAACTCCGCACCTTGACGCGCT